GCCGGCCCCGCCGCCGCGCCCCGGCGGCCGAAGTAGGGGCCCGACGTTGCGGGGCGAGTCGAGGTCAGTTTCCTCCGGGGGAAGGAGAGTCTCGCGGCGGAGCCGGTCCGTCTGCCCAGCCCTGTCCTGCTGTCGCTCGGCGGAGCCCGCCGCTGACTTACGCTGGATGCCACTCTTTATTATTGGAGGCTTGGTGCTGGGCATCGAAGCCAGGGCTCTGCCACTGGGCTGCCGCTTGCCCAGCCCTTTCAGTTTTCATCTCGAAACAGGCTCCTGCGTGGCCGGGGCTGGCCTTGATTTTGTCACCCTCCTGGGTCGCGGGGATCCTAGAATTGCGCCACCGCACAGGGCTTAATTCATGGCCTCTTCATCAGGTCTGATAAACATGTCCCCAGCTCTTTAGGGTCTGCAAGGTGATTTTCATTTGAGAAAAAGTGAGCCAGGTGCTGCCCTAATACAGAGGCACGGTTTTTGCCAGCAGGGACCCAACAGTTAGAAAGTTTTCCAGTGCAACGCTGGAGTATGCTTTGACCATACAATTTGACCTCCAGAACCTCTGACTCCCACATTCATGCTCTTTCCATAGAACAGTGTTCTTGAAACTTTTGGAAGACCTTAGTTTGGAAATTCTGTTCTTATTCTAGTTTTAGAAGTATTTCTTGTTTAGAAACTTGAAACAAGGAAATGTAATATTGGACTAAAATTTAAGTATTTCCTTGTGTGTCTGTTTAATTATTTAATTTGAATTTGTTGCATGGCTAATAAAGCCAAAATGCCTGTGTAATTAGTTAAAATGTTCTTTTCAGATTTGTTAAGATGGAACATTGCAGCAGGGCCTTCTGAAGAGAAGATGGAAAAATAGAACTTTGGAGACTGAAAAAAACTTCACTAAATATTTTAGGGTAAGATTTTTAAAAAATCTCATTTCTAGTTAAAGCTCTGATGATAGAGCTCTAACTTTTGTTTCTTTTGTGGTTTAATTTGTGTGCTTAGGGAGTGGAGGTGGAGTAGTGATGATCTGACTGTTGACATCTGATTGACAACTAAGTCATGTAGGTTGGCCTGTACCTTGGCAGGAAGATTTAAGGAAATTCTTGGTTTGATCACTAAATGTCAATATTCTTTTTGCTCTTTTGCTTACTGTATAATGTGCCCATGGTTATAAAGGAGTTTTTTAAAAAGTGAAAAATTTTGGTTTGTTATTTGTAGAAAATTGTATATGGGTGAACTCAGGTCTATTTTTTTTATCATGAGATCTGTGAAGAATAGTAGGAGACATGGTTAAAGATGATTCAGAACCAGTTCATTTAATAAATATTTGTTGTGTTCCATATAGCAGACATCATTCCAGGCTTCTTGTAGTAGAATAGCGGTTGTTATGACGCTGGGGAATACTAGAGTAGTGAATATTTTTTTCTAGAAAGTAACGTTTTTGTGAACTCTATATTTTCTTACTTTATATGCAAGGATATTTTTGGTCTATGTAGAAGACTAGGAAATGAATACTACTATGTGGTAATTGCTTATATAATCTTTCATCATTTTTTAGTTACTAAAGTAGAGATCTCTACTAGTGCTTTTGGGTACAGTAGGAAACTAGAATTCCTACAGACTTTTGCATACCCTTTCATGTTAAAGATAGTGATAGAATTTTAAAATTTCAAGAAAGTGTAGAAAATTAACTCTTTGAGAAAATCTTGAGAAAGATATAACAGAGAAGTGAAATGGTGATGTGGACAACAGTCTGGGTAAGGAGTTGTGGAGTAGTGCACTGGAAAGCCTGGGGAGCAGCAGAGGCTGCTGTAGTAGTCAGCTGAGGAAGGAGAGCCAGAGTGAAGCAGTGCAGCCAGTGGGGAAGGGTGGAAATGGGTTCACAGATAGAAAGAAGGTAGGATGGATAAGGTCTGTGGACTGAGGGAAAGTGAAGAGCACTTACTTGTAGACACTCCCCTGTTCACGCACATTATTAATGATTAGTAAGTATTTGTGAAATGAATTCTGATACCTGGGTTGGGAACATGAGTGGATTCTGGGACTATTTATTGGAGTAGGGAGCAGAGAAAGAGTGATAGATGAGAAACATGATTGGAGGAGATGAGTTCATTTGGGCTGTTAAGTTTGAGGCATTTGTGCCTTCTATGAGATGTCATTAAGTAGTGTATATACACATCTGAGTTGAGAAGACGACCCAGCTTAAAATGTAAATTTTAGAGTTAACATTTTTCTGAAACCTTTTAAGAGTTTTTAAAAAAGTTTATTTCAAGTAGGTGAGCTAGTATAAATTTCTGGCTACAAAAAGTGAGGCTTGATAAAGTGCAACATTTTTCTTGGATGGTATGATTTCTTAGATGTTAAAAATTATCATATATATAACATGAATCTATATATATATAGTGCTGGGGATTGAACCCAGGGCTTCACACATGGTAAGATTGAGCTCTACCACTTAGCTACATCACCTGCCCTATGAATAATTTTTTGTAGAATATATTAAAAACTACCTTTAATTTTTTGATGTGTAATGTTTGTCAGTTGTCAAATCTGAATATTCCGTTTGTCTTGTATTTGCTTTGCTTTTAAGAATCATATTCACTGGTGTTCATGGAACTATATTCATATTAACTTAATACTATCTTGATCATTTCTTATGCCAACTAACTTCCTTTGGTGACAAATTCCTGTTATCAGTTAAATGTATGTTTTCCTTTTACCTATTGTAAGGAACAAGACAGATTTTAAGCATTATTCACTTGTCATGTATTTCATTATTTGTGAGTGAGATGTATGCTGTGGGTTTTATGTTTGCTTTATATTTTTAATGCTTTCAGCATTTCTTCAAGGATGAGATGGCCACTTTACTACTTGGAACCAGGGGCAAAGAGATTCAATAACTTTGCCCAAGCTCTCACAGCTGAGGAAAAGATAGAGGGGATGGAACAACATTGTATTTTATTTATTTATTTATTTTTCAGAAGAGAAGTTACTTAATAGTCATCTAATCCAATCCTTCATACTTTATAGGTGGGAAGACTGAGGCCTAGAAATATGCCCAAAGCCACAGAACTAACTGATGGCAGGTTGATAGATCAAGTTTCTTTTTTAAGAATTTATAGTCCATATGATTCCATTGTACTCAACCTGCTTTCCTTTATTTATAGTAATGAGACAGGAAAGGAGAGAAAGAACCTATTTTTTCTTTCTTCCATGAATATAGAAAATAATAACTTGAATCTATTCAGTCTTGGTAGTGAAGCTGTTGTATATCAGTAGTTTTGAGAGTCTTCCCCCCCCTTTTCTTTTTTTAATTGCTTTTATTTTTTCAATACATGACAACAGAATACATCACAATTCTTATTACACATATAAAACACAATTTTTCATATCTCTGTATATAAAGTATGTTCACATCAATTCATACATGTACTTTGGATAATGATGTCCATCCCAATTCACCATCATTGCTAACCCCCGCCCCCTCCCTTCCCCTCCTACCCCTCTGCTTTATCTAGAGTTTGTCTATTCCTCACATTCTCCCTCTCCATACCTCACTATGCATACATTGTATTTTAAACTGGCTTTAAAGCCTAGTCTGTTTTTAAGATACCAAAGGATTTCCATTATTTCTGTTGACTGTTATTTGCCACTTAATTCTATTAGGCTTTAGAACTAGTTAGAAGGTGAAATTATTTCTCAATCCTGAGATGAAAGGGACCTGCAACAAGGATTATACTTAATCTCTTTGACCTAAGAGGCTAATTTTCTGTTTTGTTTGCTTAAGTGAATAGAATAGGGCATTATATAATTTTGGTTTATATACCCAAAGCTGTGTGCCCTGGCTAAAATTGCTAAGCTAAATTTGCTTTTGTTGCAAAATATCTTCTTTTAATATTTTCCTCATCTTTTGCAATCTCACGGTTTTTGTCATATTTGTCATTCCTGCTTTACTAATGAGAAAGGTACTCTAACTAATTTACACTAATAATGCATGGTAATGGTCAGTGGTAGATAGTATTGACATACAGTTACATGCTGAACAATGACGTTTTGATCAACAATGGACACATACTACTGTTGTAGTCTCCTAAGATTATAACAGAGCCAAAAAATTGCTATTGCCAAAAGACATAGCATTTATAATGTTTTAGAATAATGCATTCCATATTTGTGGTGATGCTGTTGTAAAAAAGCCTACTGCACTGTTTGTCCTATAAAAGTATAGCCTGTACACTTATGTATTGTACATAATACTGGATAATGATAATGACTATTACTGATTTACACATTTACTATACTATAATCATTACCTTAAAGCGTGTTCTTTGTATTTAGATATAAAAAAAGGTATGCTATAGAACTGT